GCAGCGGGGCGCCTGGGTGGCTCAGTCGTTAAGCCTCTGCCTTTGGCTCAGGTCATGATCCCAGGGTCATGGGATCGAGCCCCCTCCCTGCTCCGCGGGAAGCCTGCTTCTCCCTCTCCCACTCACCCTGATTGTGTTCCCTCTCTCGCTGTCTCTCTGTCAAATAAATAAAATCTTTAAAATAAATAAAAATAAAAAGAGCAGCAAGAGGTCAGAGTCATGTAAGGGGTCCCTGAGTCAAGGAAGCAGGCATCTCTGGAAGCTGACAAAGGGAAGGAAAGGTATTCTCCCCTGAAGCCTCCTGGAGGAATGCAGCCCTGTCAATACCATGATTTTAGACTTCTGACCCCCAGAACAGAAAGAGAATAAGTTTGTGTTGTTTTAAAGCACCAAGCTTGCAGTAATTTATTACAGCAGCAATAGAACCTAATGCAGTGGGTACTCAATACAGTTTTCACATGAGAGTGCGAAGAAAGCTAGGAACTACGGGTTACCCATATCCTAGGGAGTGTCACTAAGGAATTGACTCTATTTTTGTGCTTTACAATGTATCTTGTACTTTTGAGTTGTAATCGCCAACAAGTACACAGGATCATTTTGTTGTTTTTGTAGGCTAAAAGGCAGAATTTCACTTAATTCTGCTTGATGAAACTATGCTGGTACCATTTCCCAGGGACGAGTGTCTACTCTGGTCAAAAGTTTGTTATAGAAAGGGTTTGAAGAAACATTTCTCCAAAGAAGACACACAAATGGCCAATAAGCACATGAAAAGATGCTCAACATGACTAATCATTAGGGAAATGCAAACAAATTTTAATACCACTTCACACACATTAGGATAGCTATTATAAAAATAAGAAAATAAAAAGGATTGACAAAAACGTGGAGAGATTGGAAACCTTGTGTATTGCTCATGGGAATGTGAAATGGTGTGACTGCTGTGGAAAAACTATGGCAGTTCCTCAATAAATTGAACACAGAACTACCATATGAGCCAGCGATTTCACTTCGGGTATATACACGAAAGAATTGAAAGCAGAGTCTCAAACAGATATTTGTATACCCATGTTCGTAGTAGCATTATTCACCAAAGCCAAAAGATGGAAACAACCCAAATGTCTGTCAACAGGTGGATAAACAAAATGTGGTATATTCACACAGGAATGTTATTCAGCCATAAACAGGAATGAAGTTATGATACATGCTACAACATGGATGAATCTTGAAAACATTATGCTAAGTGAAATAAGCCAGGCACAAAAGAACAAATATGACTCCACCTGTATGAAGTACCTAAAATAGGCAAGTCACAGTAACAGAAATTAGAAGTGGGGTACCTGACTAGCTCAGCTGATGGAGTGTGCAATTCTTGATCTTGGGGTTGCGGGTTTGAGCCCCACATTGGGAGTGGAGATTGTTTAAAAATAAAATCTTTGAAAAAAAAGAATAGAGGTTACCTGGGGCTTGGGGGGTGGAGAGGGGAGGGGGAGTTCTTATTTAATGTGTACAGAGTTTCGGTACAGGATGACAAAAGTGATCTAGAGATGGATACTGGTGATGGATGTACAACAGTGTGATTGTACCTAATACCACTGAACTGTACACTTAAAAATGGTTAAAGTATTAAATTTTGTGTATGTTTTATCATGATAAAAAAAGCTTATTATATCTTAAACTTTAAATATGGCTCTTTCTGGACTATAAATTTATAAAATTTTGCCTTTTCCCTGGTTTTCATTAGTCCATATTGAATGAATTAATCAATAACATGAAATAGATTGTAAATAAGCTTTTTTTTTTTAAGATTTTTATTTATTTATTTGACAGAGACACAGTGAGAGAGGGAACACAGGCAGGCGGAGTGGGAGAGGGAGAACCAGGCTTCCCACTGAACAGGAAGCCCGATGTGGGGCTTGATCCCAGGACCCTGGGATCATGACCCGAGCTGAAGGCAGACACTTAACGACTGAGCCACCCGGGCACCCCTGTAAATAAGCTTCTTCAGGACAGAGATTTTAATTTCTTTGTGCCGTTTCATAATTCTGGTCAAAGACGGTCATCAACTCATAAGTGAAAAAAGGCTCTTCTCCAGATACATTGAATCTGGACTCTTTTATCAGAAAAGATGAAAATAATATCCCTTGACCCCTTTTCAAAAAAGTTGTTTTTCACTTATTATAAACCTCTTGAAACAGAATATAGGCTTGACTATTTCTGTAGAGAGCTATTAAAAGAACTTTTTGCATAATAGCTGGAGGTTTTTTCATCTATGCTAAACTTTATGAGTAAATGGATTTTTTTAAAAAAACTTAGGAATTAAGTTTTGAAGGATGAAGTCTTTCCGGGGTTGAAGTTTATAAACCAAATTGAAATTAAATGTAGTTAAGTTTCATATATTTTAAGTATCTAAAGGGGGGTACTTCAAAATATCTAAATGCTGTAAAAGGAAATTGAGAAAGCAAAATGACTTAGATTCACATTTGAATTTCCTGAACTTCCACAAAGCAGAATTAGTAGCTCTCTTCTTGCCACCATAGAACTTTGTAATACCTTAGTAATATATATTACATTGCTTTATGCTTCTCCCCCATCCCAAACAGAATGAGAGCTCTTCAAGGACAGAGACCATAGTTTTTTAAAGATTTATTTATTTTAGAGAGATGGGGCAAAGGGAGAGGGAGAGAGAGAATCTCAAGCAGACCTCACTGAGCAGGGAGCCTGATGTGGGGCTCGATCCCACAACCCTGAGATCATGACCTGAGCTGAAATCACGAGTGGGACGCTTAACCTACTGAGCCACCCAGGCGTCCCCAGAGACTATGTTTTACACTGCTTTCTAACAAAGCACCTAGCTAATATTTTTGGACTGAATGAATGAATAAAAGTCACATACTACCTTCCAGAAGTTTACAATCTATTTAAAAGCCGATGAATGCTATTATTATTGTATTGATTTTGTAAGGACATTATTTGTATAATACAGAAAGCCATTTGTTTTGCCTTTTGACATTACTTTTAACTATTTGAAAGATGGCATCATGGAGGAGAATCTTGTAATATAGGTTCACCACCTACTAGCTGTGTGATTTTGAACAAGTCATTTAACTTCGCTGAGCCTGTTTCCTAATCTGGAAAATGAGATTATAAAACTTACCTTATGTCCTTTATAGAGTTATAGTGAGGAATATATGTTTTAAAAAGAATTTCCAAAAGTTGAAGTTTCCATTGAGGGGCACCTGGGTGGCTCAGTCAGGTGTCTGCCTTTGCTGTTCATGATCCCGGGGTCCTGGCATCTAGCCCCAGCATCTGGCTCCCTGCTCGGCGGGACGTCTGCTTCTCCCTCGCCTAGGGCCCTTTCCCTCCACTTGTGCTCTCCTGCTCTCTCAAATAAAATCTTAAAAAAAAAAAGTTTCCATTAAAATATGAGATTATTTTTACTACTTTTTTGGGTCTACTCAATTATTCTAGATATAGTATCATGGAAGAATATCAGATTTATTCATTCAAAAGTATTTATTAAGGGCCTACTCTCTGCAACCCCTATTCATACTCTAATTAATATTCTAATATTAATTTTACTTTCCATAGGTATGTTCTCTTTCCTAGAGCAAATAAATGACAAATGAAAGGTACTTTTTGGCTTCTTTTTGGCAGTATATAAAAGCTTTATATAATATTAAATACATAGTGTTAATCTGAAAATATTCAAAATCCTTTCCTAATTTATGCAAGTACATTTAATCAATATTGTGTCCTGCCTACTTTATATTTCACTCTGCTCATAATACATATGAAAAAGCATAAAGATCAGTTCAAAAAGTTTTTTGGCCCACATGCATTTTGGAGAAATTAGATAAGTAAACACAATTTATATTCTTTCTTTATAATCTGCTGCCCAATAATACTGGATATCAAATCTAAGTGAGTGTAGAATTGTTTTCACTTTGTTTCATAACTTGAAAATATTAGAGTAAAATAAAGTTGAATGATACAGCTGTATCACCAAACTCTTCACTGAGAAACATAGTTGTATACTGTCTCCCTTTCCCCTATCCTTCCCTAGGTCCTTTTGTTCATTTTATAGGCAAATGGGATTAGATTATGAAGAACTATCAATTCCAGGAACAAGAAATGTGAATTTTAACATATTTACAGTGATAAGTCACTGGATACCACTGATTTGGGTGCGCAGCCAGATGATCCACAAGAAACTGATTAGTATATTCTGTCAAAGCAAATTGTGGTAGGTCATTAAAGTAATGCAACCAGTGAATTATACTCCCCATATTTAAGCCCATGTGTAGACCTCTCCCTCTTTAATTACTGGTTGGGCCATATGATTTGCTTTGGCCGATGGGACATTAGCAAATGTAAGGTAAGCAAAAGCTTAAAAACCTTGCACATGGCATCCCTGAGACTGTCATGTGAAGAAGGCCAAGCTGACCTTTTGGAGGGTAAGTACACAGGGAGCAGAGACAAGCCATCTCAATAGAGACTCCATAGATCTAACAGCCCCAGTGTATGCATCCAGGAGACCGTAGTTTCATTAGTGACCCCAGGCAAGAAGAGCAGAATTGCCCAACTGACCCCAGTCCAAATTGCTGACCCACAAAATCATAAGCAAATGAAATGGTTATTTGGTGGTAGCTTGTTATGCAACAATAAGATAATTGACACACCATATTTCCAGTGTGTCTTCTTTTGGATAATAACCTCTTGGATAATACTTAGTTTTTAAAAGAATAACTAACTAGCTGGAATTTAAATAAAAGCTTGAAACGAACAAAAATACTTGGCAGATAAAAATATCAAATTGCACAGCTCATTGTATGTAAATTATTCTTCATAAAACAATAATTACAAAAAAGAGAATTGAAAATAATAAAAAACATCCACTATGAATGTTGTATTTTTTTCCTTTGTTGAAATAATGACACCGATGATGCCTTATAGAAAAACAGTATAGTCATAGTAATTTAAAAATATATTTTAATGCTTACTTTTCTTCACTATGCTCCCTGGGAAGCAGGATCTAAGTCATTTGATTGGAAAACAATAGTGCTGTTGAACTGTAGAAATTCTTCAGGATTGTTTCCCTGTATCTCTCATCCATTTACTTCTTCCCTTTCTTCTTTCTATTCCCGAATGGCCCTATCACCCATCCTTTCAAATCATTAATCTCTTCAGAATTCCTTCATTTCCTTTCCAATTCTTTCATCTATCAAAGATACAGCTGCTGCTTTATTGGTCTTAGTAGTAATTACTAGTATTTAGCATATTAGCATCTTTTCAGTAAACATCTGTATATTAACGATGGGATCATGATAGGAGAATAGGAAAATAATGTAGTCTAAAAATTATTTGGACCTCTTTCGCTTGTGTAGGTAGTAACATTTGTATTGAATCTTTGGTAACAAAAATATAGGGGCTGGGAGCCAAAGTGATCACGGCAACTGTGTACACACTTTGGCACCAGGCCGACTTTTTGGGCCTTTCGATAACTAGCATTTGCAGGCTTTATTACTCTTGCACGTTCGTCGGATTCTTTCCCTGAAGGAAATAAAAGGAAGGTTGTTGGGGAAAACTGTATTAAAAGTGAGGATCAGGAATGATTGCCGATTTTATCTAAATAGCAGGTGAAAACAAAGCAGAAATCTGGGGAACCGTAAGCATGGGAGATTACTTGTCAGGGAAGAGCAGAGAGCGAGGATTAAGGGATCACCTGAGCCGGAGAATTACAAATGCTTCTGACACCTGCAGCAAAATTTTCCATCCACGTACGGCACCCTGGGGGGAGGGGAGGAGCAGCCCAGGACCGAGCAGTTATCCCGGCGATTGGTCGCGCCCCCTCTCCTTGAGGGGCAGCGACGGTCGGACCCCGCCCCCGCGCCGCGGGTGGGCGATGGGGGCCGGGCGCGGCCGGGCACCTCCCACCTGTCACTCAGCGGGCCGCGGCCGCCCTCCGCCTCCCCCCCCCCCCCCCCCCCCCGCCTGACAAGTACCTCGGGGCCTCCCCCACCCCCGCTCCGCCTCGGGCTTCGCCCGCTTAAGTCACAACGAGGTCCGGCTACCTGGGCGCGCCCGGCCGGACGGCTGCGGAGCGGGCGCCGGCGGGCGGCGCTGAGGGCTCGCTGAGAGGAGCTCGGCGGCGTCTGTCGGAGCACTTCCCTCGGTGGGCCGCCGGCGAGGGCATGAGCGCCGACTGCCTGTGCCTCAGGAGCGGCGGCGGCGGGAGCGGCGAGGGGAGGAGGCGCCGCGCAGAGGCCACCGTCCAGGGCAGCGCCAGGGGACAGCAGGGCAGGAAATGTGCCTGTCCTTAGCGGCACAAGAAGCAGCATGCACCCCGATGCCACCGACAGCAGCGGCGCCGGCCTCAACCTCGCGCCGGCCGCAGCCAGCGGCGGCCGCCCTGCCCCGAGCGCCCCGGGCGAGCTGCGGCCGGACCCCCGGGAAGACGCGGCGGCACCGGGGGCCCCTGGCGGCGGGAGCTGGCGAGTGCCAGCGGCCGTGGTCGCACTCGCCGCCGTGTGCCTCTCCTGCCTGGGGCCCGGTTGCTGGCAGGCGGCCGGAGGCGCGGGGCCGTGCACCGTCCTGCTCGGGCTCAGCCTCTACCTGGGCTGCGCCACGGCCGCCTTCCTCCTGGGGACCCTGTTCTCCCTCGTCTGCCGGAGCCGGCGAGCCCCGCCGCCCGACTTCGTCGCCGCCTGGAGACGGCTGGCCGCGGCCGCCCGCCGCGCGCCGGGGGTAAGTACCGGTCTCTCCTCTGCCTCGCGCGCCCGGGGCCTCGGCTCGGCCCTCCCCCGCTTCCGGTGCCAGCCGCCCGCTCTCGGAGCCCCGGGTGGCGGCGGCGGGGCCCGTCCTCTCCGTCCCGGTTGCCCGGGAGGAACGGGGCTGGGGTTGGTCGGCCCGGCCGGCAGCTGCGAGCGATCCCCCAGCTCCCGCGGGAGGCGGGCTCCGGGCTCCTCCGGGCTTGCGAGATGCTCGCCGTTAGGCTATGTAGTTGCTCCACAACCATCCCCAGGCACAACCTTGATAGCTGAATAATCATTCCAAATCTTGGATGTTGCTCTGCAGTTGGCGACGGGAGCACTCACTGTGCGCGCGCGCTGCGCCCTATATCGGTCTTTGTATTTCTAACCGTTCTCTGGGGGAGGTAACTTGATGACCTTTTACCGATGCGGAAACTTGTTCAGAGAGGCTAACTTGGCTTAGTTCTCACCCTGCCAGTACCTCTCACCCAACGCTGTGTACACTTTTCACCACACCATCCTGCCACCCACTACGTAGATCAGTAGCGCAGCCCCAGCTAGTTTCTGTGATTTAGAAAGGGGATGTCAGAAATCACTTCAGTTTGCAACAAAAGGAAAAGTATCCCCAGTGAGGTGTGGGACGGCAGGGCGGTGATTAGGGAAGATAGGAATGAGCGCTTCTCTTCCTTAGTGCCAAACCGCCGCTTGATCAACCTCCCAGCTTCCTCTGGTAACCCTCTAAGTGCAACTTGATTCTGTTGTAGCTTGTTAGCTTGTTGTGTTGGGGCACATTATGCTGAGGCTGAGATTTGTTTCTGCCAATGATTTATTTAACACGGGTTTACTAAGAGAATTGTAACTTCCATTTCATAAGCCGGTAGGATACAGGATAATATCTCTAAATAAGCCAGTGAAGAAATAACTACACTCCATAAACCAGTGGTAGATGAGTACACTATTGTTCAAGGCGATGGGGAAATAAAGTCCAGATTGACTGACTGACTGATTGATTGATTTGGAATTGGTTCTTGGTAGAGTCAGTGCTTTCAACCAAAAGCTGGGTATTAGCTGCTGGGACACAGAGCTAGTGGACAATGGCATTCGTGTTGGCAGGCAAGGCGAGCTGCTTTGAAGTTTAGTACTTTAGGGACAGTTACACAGTTTGCACCACTGCCTGTGAGAAATAGGCTCACCAAGGCAGAAACAGATGTCCCTTCCCCTCCTGAGACTGCTGCCTGGTTTAACACCCCTGCTGACCAAGAGTTGCCTGACCACAGCAGGAGCAAGTGTCTCAAGACCTACAGAGGGCCGTTCAGATCAGCAAAGAGTAGCCTTGCCCAGACTGAACACTCTGGGTAAAGTCCACACAAATTACCGGTATTTAAAGTTTAAGTGTCCATTACGTCATACTTATTCTGCCATATGTTTCGATGGCTAAGCACTCAAGAGCACAATACTTCTGCAGATCTCGTCTTGACACGGTTTCTCAAATTCACCTGCTGATGAAAACAACTTCACTTAATTTAAAAATATGGATTTGAAATTATAACCAATACACAACATAATTTGCCACTTAACTGCTTGACTGAATGATATTGTCATTAAACTGAAATTGCCCAACCACTTTAGGGTAAGGGCAATGGCAGTGGTTCAGCTTCATAAAAATATTTGTTAGAAGGACCATTGCCCCCTTGGGTTTTGTATTTGCTTATAATATGATCTGCTTACTGTTTTGTAAATATCATCACTCTCTTCATCAAAACTACCCTGTCCTGAGTCGGTCACTTCTGAATGCAGCCCTCAGATAATAGCTGGAGGGTTGTACATAAGGGAGTCAGGCATCCTCACTCTGTAAATTGATGTAAGAGTTCAGTATATTGGGGCGCCTGGGTGGCTCAGACGGTTGAGCATCTGCCTTCGGCTCAGGTCATGATCCCAGGGTTCTGGGATCGAGTCCCACATCGGGCTTCCTGCTCAGTGGGGAGCCTGCTTCTCCCTTTCCCTCTGCCTGCTGCTTCCCCTGCTTGTACACTCTCTCTCTGTCAAAAATAAATAAAATCTTAAAAAAAAAAGTTCAGTATATTAAGGAACAGGAGCTTCTGTTTTCCTCGGTAGTCTCAAAAATTAGTAATGTTAATTTCTTTTAAAAGCTTTCATGTAACAGTCCTTTTTTCTCCTATCTAATTAAGCAAGAGTTGGTGGGCAGGTGTATTTTTCCTCTTAATTTTTCTCTACAACGATAGAAAACAAGGATCCTGATTTTACTAGCTGGTTTATTGATTTATAAATGATGTCCCCATTCTTTAGAGTATTGTAAGAAATTATAATTCAGTCAGTATGTATTTATCGAATGTTTTATATGAGCCAGGGATTATTCTGGAAGCTGGGATTGAATCAGTGAGACACATAGGAGCCCTACTCTCTGGAGATTATATTCTTATGGGAGATCAAGCCATAAACAAATAAATGAGGTATTTTTAGATAATGATAAATGCTTATGAGACAAAAAATAGGAGTTAAATGATTAAGAGTTCCTAGTAAGTGAGAGCAGGAAGTTTAGATGATGAAGTCAGGGTCAAAACCCGGAGTATTGCATTTTTGCCTCTGAAGGCATAAAGCCTTATGTTGTGGGTTACCACCCTATTTCCTGGAAAATACATTTCCCCAAACCCCCCAGCTCATTTATACCTCTGGGTAGATAAAACTTGGATTAGCACCCAGAAAGATGGTTTAGTAGAGGAATTTGAAAAAATAGTACTTTAAAGGTGACAGAAAATGAAGCAGTATATGTAATCCTTTTTTTTTTTTTTTTAAAGATTTTATTCATTTATTCATGAGAGACAGAGGGAGAGAGAGAGAGAGAAGCAGAGGGAGAAGCAGGCTCCCAAGGAGCAGGGAGCCCGATGCGGGACTCGATCCCAGGACCCGGGACCATGACCTGAGCCGAAGGCAGACGCTTAACCATCTGAGCCACCCAGGCGCCCAGTATATGTAATCCTTAATGTATACAACCAGAAGATTTCAATTAATAGAAGAAGTGAAGTATAATTTTAAGGAAAGTAGATTATTGGTCATTCTTTGGAACTTGGATTCTTATAGTAGTCTTAAATGAGAAAATAAGGACATTAGGAAAATGTAGTTTCTAAGCTCTATATTGTAATTGAAATGCGTATTTTTCACATAAAATTTTATTTTTTTTACAGGACTGGTGTTATTTACTCAAGCCTTTAGTTGTGCTGTATTGTTTATTTATTTTACCGCTTCCCCTAGTTGTGCTATATTTCTAATTTGTATTTAGGTATTTTTTTTAATGTTCTGTTCTTCATGAATGGAAGCATAACATGTGGTGTAGTATAAAACATGTCACTTCTGTGGGGGTAGGCGCTGGACCACACAGGTCATCTAACATATGTGGAGGGGGAGGCTGTTTAGTAGTGAACCAAATGGTGCCTCTTAAGATACAGTGACTACTTTACTACAGAAATTTTGATTCAGCATGAAGAAAAGAATCCTCATTTGTTCTTACACATTTTGGATTCTTCTAGTATCAGCCAGACAGGTCAGAGGCTGGGATCTATCCTTCTAGCTGTCCATTCTTCCTTCCTCTTTTTTTTCTTCTTGGTCTCCTTCTATAGAGGAAAAAAAAATGCATACACCGTTAAAAGTAAACAACCTCAAAGAAGCCCAAACTAAAAGTGACAAGGGGTTTTTGTGTCTAGGAGTGTTTAAAATGCTTCTGCATGCTTCACAGTGTACTTATTGGCTGTAAACTCCATGTGGTTAGCATCCATGATTGACACCTTTTGTTATATCTTGCACTTAGAACTCAAGGAGTGTTTGCAGATGATGATAAAGAAACTTGTTCTTTCATGCTTTCCCCCTCCCATTAATCCAGTATTAGTAGTTATTGGGCATCTCCCATATGTGCATGAATTTTTATTTTTGGGGGGGCAGGAATTACTCTTTAAAGTAGTAAAAATAATTTTCAACTCAAGTAGAAATAATATGTAGTGGTATATACAGGTACTAAGGAAGCTTTTTTATAAGGTCAGGAAAGTCTTACAGGTGATATCTGGGCCCCACTTTAGAAAAATTTGGACTTTGTTACAGGCCAGTGGACTAGAGCTGTGATGCCCTGGGGCTGCCCTGCTCCTGGGGTAAGAGTTGTTAGTCCAGCTTTGCTGAGCAGGCTGTCATAGCATGTACTGTCTTATGCCAGGCCAGTTAACTTGTCTGGCCCAAGAGCCTCAGCTTCACTGGCCACAGTTACTTGACCCTAGCACATCATCTAACCAAGGCAACAGAAAGAGAAAAATGGCAAAAGTGAATCAATAGTTTAGAAAACATTTTCTTTACTGGACCTGCTATACAAAGCGCGTCTTCATATAATGGAAGAAAGGAAAATGATTTTT